TTTTAATTTTTTGAGGAACACTTGTAGTATTTTCCATAATGGCTGTTTCAATTTACCTTCCCACCAACGGTGTATAAAGTTTCCCTTTTCTCCACATCCTCTCCACCACTTGCTATCTTTTGTTTTTTAATAATAGCCATTCTAAGAGCTGTGAGGTGATATCTCATTGTGGTTTTGATTTACATTTGCATTACCTGGTGATTGGTGATGCTGAGCACCTTTTCATGTACATGTTGGCCATTTGTATGTCTTCCTTTGAGAAATGTCTATTTGGGTTCTTTGCCCATTTTAAAGGTTATTTTTTTTGCTATTGAGTTGTTTGAATTCCTTTTGTATTTCGAATATTAACCTATATCAAATGCGTGGTTTGCAAATATTTTCTCCCATTCCATAGGTTATCTCTTCATTCTGTTGATTGTTTCCTTTGCTGTGCAGAAGCTTTTTCATTTGATGCAATCCTACTTGTCTATTTTTTCTTTTCTTGTCTCTGCTTCTGGGGTTGTATCCAAAAGAATCATTGCCCAGACCAATGTCAAGAAGCTTTTTCCTGGGGCAGGCCCCGTGGCCGAGTAGTTAAGTTTGCGCGCTCTGCTTCAGTGGTCTAGGGTTTCCACAGTTTGGATCCTGGGTGCGGACATGGCACCGCTTATCAGGCCATGTTGAGGCAGCGTCGCACGTGCCACAACTAGAAGGACCCACAACTAAAATATAGAACTACGTACTGGGGGGATTTGGGGAGAAAAAGCAAAAAACGAAAAAACCAACATACAAACAAAAAAGAAGCTTTTTCCCTATGTTTTCTTCTAATAGTTTTACAGTTTCAGGTCTAATGGTTGTCTTTAATCTATTTTGAGTTTATTTTTGTGTATGGTGTGAGATAAAGGTCCAATTTCATTCTTCTGCATCTGGGTATCCAGTTTTTCCAGCACCATTTATTAAGGAGACTATCCTGACCCCCTTGTGTGTTTTTGATACACTTGTCGAAGATAAGTTGATTGTAAATGCTTGGATTTATTTGTGGACTCTCTATTCTGTTCCATTTGTCTTTTGTGTCTGCTTTTATTACTGTAGCTTTGTAATATATTTTGAAATTAGGAAGTGTGATGCCTCCAGCTTTGTTCTTCCTGCTCAAGATTGCTTTGGCTATTCAGAGTCCTTTGTGGTTCCATCTGAATTTTAAGATTGTTTCTGTTGGGGGGACATAGGATGAAGACCTCCTATTCCGCCATCTTGCTGATGTCACTTCTCTTCTTGTAGTATCTTTGTCTGACTTTGGTATCAGGGTAATGCTGGCCTCTTGGAATGAACTTGGAAGGGTTCCCTCTGCTTCAATTTTTGGGGAGCGTTTCAGGATGGTTGGTGTTAATTCTTCTTTAAATGTTTGGTAGAATTCATCGGTGAAGCCATCTGGTCCTGGCTTTTCTTTTTTAGGAGATTTTTGATTTCTGATTCAATTTCCTGGCTTATTCATCTGTTAAGATTTTCTGTTTCTTCATGATTCAGGTTGTGTGTTTTTAGGAATTTATCCATTTCTTGTAGGTTACCCGATTTGTTGGCATACGATTCTTCCAACTTCTCATAAGGATGCTTGTCATGGCATTTAGCGCCCACCAGGATAATCTCCCCATCTCAAGATCTTTAACCTAATCACCTCTGCAAAGACTCTTTCCATATAAGGTTCTGTTATGGGCTGAATTGCATCCCTCCCTGAAATTCATATGTTGAAGTCCTAACCCCCCAGGACCTCAGAATGTGACTGTTTGGAGATAGAGTCTTTAAAGAGGCAATTAGGTCAAAATGAGGTCATTAGAATGGGCCCTAATCCAATATGACAGGTGTCCTTATAAAAAGAGGAGATTAGGACACAGACACGCACGGAGGGAAGACCATGTGAGGACACGAGGAGAAGGCGGCCATCTACAAGCCAAGGAGAGAGGCTCAGAAGGAACCAGCCCTGCCAGCACCTTGATTTCGGACTTCCAGCTCCAGAACAGTGAGACAATAATTTTCTGCTGTTCAGCCCCCAGTGTGTGGTCCTTTGCTGTGGCAGCCCATGCAGACTGATACCGGGATCTTTACGAGGTTCCTGGGATTTGGCCTGGATACCTTTGAGGGTATTATCATCCTAGCATGTTTGCTTACATCTCTCTCCCAGAGTGTGAAATTAATGAAAGGGGGGAGTTCCTCTATTTTGTTCTTAAAACAGTGTCTGTTCTCAGGGAGCTCACAGTCTGTTGTGGAGAGTGAGACAGTGAACAAAGAAGGGAAGTTACTATGCCCAGGGTGCCAGGCGCTCTGGCGAGAAGGAAGGCAGGGGCAGGTGAGGGAATGCTGCATGAGGAGGAGGGCACAGTTTGCAATTTCTCAGGGACCTCCTGAGAAGGTGACATTAGAGCCAAGAACCGAGGAGATGAGGGAGCCAAGCACCTTGATGGCTGAGGGAGAACATCCTGGGCAGGAGCGACAGCAGGCATGGAGGCCTGCATGGCAGTGGCCTGCCACCCGCAAGGAAAAAGAAGAGGGCCTGGCGGAGGCCAGGTAGCGGGATGTGAGGTCAGAACAGCTGGTGCAGCTCAGGGAGGGGCTTCTAGGCCACTGAAAGCCTCTGGCTTTGGCCCTGAGCCAGAGGGGAGCTGTTGCAGGATTCTGAGCCGCCGTGTGACCTGAGCTGACTTACGTTTTCAAAGGATTGCTTTGGCTGCTGCATGGAGAGAAGGCTGAAGGGGAGCCGAGCAGGTAGGAAGCCACGTCCCAATCCAGGTAAGAGCCGCGGGTGGAGCAGGGCACGGCCCCTGGAGGCTGTGAGGAATGGCTGGACCCTGGGTGTCTTCTGAAGGGTGTGCTGCAGGATTCGCTGGAGAGTCTGAGGTGGGGAGTGGGAGGAGAGGAGTTGGAGATGGCTCCAAAGCTGCTGGCCTGAACCCCTGGAGCTGCCGTTTCCTGGGATGGGGAAGGCGGGGAGGAAGCATGTTCTGTTGGAGAGGAGGGAGCCCACGCTACGCAGGGATGTCTGGGAGACGTCCAGGTGGAGATGTTGAGAATTGGCCTTGGCCGTGCCGGTGTGGAGCTCAGGGGAGAGGTCTGTCCTGTAGCTGTCCGAGTTGCCAGTGCATAGGTGGTATTTAAAGCTGTGAACTATGAGAAGCAGAAGGCTGGGGCTGGCCAACTTTTGGAGGCTGGAGAGCTGAGGAGAGAACAGGAAGGGATATTTTTGGTGAATGAATAAATGAAAGAATGAATCTCCTTTGCCATGACTCCGGGGCAGGCTGTTGCTCCTCTCTGTCACAGCCGCCCCCTTATGGGTCTCCATGAACCTGCTCTGTACCTGCTTCTGAGCTTTCCTGCATCTTCCCTCCGCTCTGCCCCCTTCTACCGGGCGCTTCTTACTGTCCTGGTGGCTGGGCCTTCACAGCTGCTCTCCCAGCCTGCAAGGCCCGCCCCCGCCCCCCCCCCCCTCAACCTTGTATCGTAGAGGGAAGAAACTAAGAGGAGAGCAAGGAGCATTCAAGCAGGTGGTCAGGGAGGCTGAAGCCAGGGGCACGTTAGCTGGAGCTGCAGCCAGGAGGCAATTCCGGGGTCTGACCGGTGGGAGAGGGTGCCCACAGAGCTGCACAGACCTCCACAGTCAGGATGGATCTGTGAGGAGCATGGTTGGACAGGAGGGGTCAGGCCAGACAGCGTAGGCAATGGAGGCCTTTGAAACCTGCTGTGACAGGATGG